AAGGAAGAATTCCAAAGGAGAGAGCAAACTGCCTTGATACATAATGCATGCGCTGTCATGCCAGGTGGCAGAGCACTTGTAGGAATATCGAAAAAAAGGAGAAAAAAGGGATCGCGGCCTTATATTGAATGCATGCGCTGTGGCGCCAGCTGGCGGAGCACGTGCAGGACGAAGGAGGGGCAACGGAGCACGGAGAGTGAGCTGCCTTGAGACAAGACAGCATGCGCGCGCTGTCGCGCTGGCTGGCGGAGCACATGCGGGAGGGACGGGGAAGGGCAGAGACCGGAGACAGAAGGATACAGGGAAAACAGAAACTCTAATGAGCCATCTCGGGGTCCTCCTACGACGTGCTGTGATTGCATAGCAGCCATGTTGGAGCATCTTGGGGCCTGGGGTCTCTTTCGAAATCTCTCGGAGCCCGGTCAGGGCCTCGAAGAGGAGGAGGAGGAGGAGGGAGTAGGAGGGAGGAGGAAGAGGGAGAAGGAGGAGGAGGAGGAGGAAGAGGAAAGCGGAGGGATGACGAGGAAGAGGGCGGAGGAGGGCGGAGGAGGGCGGAGGAGGGCGGAGAAGGGCGGAGGAGGGCGGAGGAGGGCGGAGGAGGGCGGAGGAGGGCAGAGTCTCCTGGGGGCTGCCCAGGGACTTCCTAAAGACCTCTCGGGGGCCTCTCTGTTCTCTCTTTGGGACCTTCCGGGGGGTCCCTCGGGGCCGGTCCTGTGGGGGCGCCTGTGGGCGGCCTCTCGTGGGCCATCTCTGCGCAGAGGGCTCCAATTGGCAGCTCGGGGTCCTTCTCTTGGGGCCCCCTTGGGGGCTTCTTGGTCCGTCTCGGGGACCTCTTGGGCCGTCTAGGAGGTCCCTTGAGGGCCAGGAGAAAATGCACGTTTCCCTCCAAGGATGGGGTGATGTGTGCGTCTCGGGGCCCTCTCGGGGTCCTCGTGGAGTGGTCTTGAAGCGTCATGGACCGCCTTGACGTCGGTCCGGGGCGCCTCTCGAGCCGTCTGGGAGCGTTGAAGCCCGAAAACGCTTGACCACTAAACTCCGTCAAAAACCCACGACACGTAGCGAACGATTGCCTCGGAGGGCCTCTCGGGGCGGCGCGGCGCCAGCCAGGAGCGCAGAAACACCGAAAGAGAGAGGAGGCGAAGGGAGGGCAGGGGAGGAGGCGAAGCGAGGGGAGCAGGCGGGCGAAGGGAGGGGCGCGCTCCCGCACACGCCTCGGCCGCCTCGGCCATCCAGGCGCTACGCGGACCGCTGGCGCATGGGCGGGGAGGCCCACCCGCGGCGCGCGGCGCGCGGCGCTGTCGGTCGGGAGCGGCGCGCCGGCGCGCTGCCCCCTGGTCCCCCGTGCGCATCGCTCCCGCGCGCAGGGCGTGTCGTGACGACCCCGGCGTTGGCGTGGGACACCGAACGGGTCGTTCAGCCTTCGACCTGGAGCAATCGTTCAACGCACCCCTGGTGCGGCGGCGGGCATCCCCCCCGCGCCCAAGTCTCCTTCTCATCCTCCTCCTCCCCTTTTGACGATTGTCATGTTTACTAAAACGTTAGTACTAGTATGATTATTGATACGATGATTAGTTGCATTACTACTGTTGTCTGTAATAACAATATTATCATTCGTATTACGACTACTACAGTTACTACTACTACTACTGTTGCTACTACTAATAGTAATAAGAATAATACCTACTACTACTACTACTACTACTACTACTACTACTACTACTACTACTACTACTACTACTACTACTACTGCTACTACTACTACTACTACTACTACTACTACTACTACTACTACTACTACTACTACTACTACTACTACTACTACTACGACTACGAC